GCTGGGCAGGGTCGGGGGGTCCCGGTCGGGGGTCCCGGGCTGGGCAGAGTCGGGGGTCCCAGCCCGGGCTCTCCCCGGCCCCGCCCAGGGCGGAGCTGCCTCCTGGGCGGGGCCTGTATGCAAACGAGGCGCGCACGCAGCCCGCGGATAGGCGGCTCTCCCGCCTCCTCCCGGGTTATATGCAAATGACCCCGCGGATGGGCCAATGGCGCGGCGAGGCGCCCCGCGGTATGCAAATGAGCCCCGTTATGTACCGCGGGGGGCGCGGCCGCCCTGGGCTCCCGGGGGCACCGGCGGGGGCGGGGCCGGCGGTACCGGGGGGGGGGAAGGAGCACGGCGGGGAGGGGGCGTCCGGTGAACGGGGCCGAGCGAGCAGGACGGGAGTGTCCGGGGACGGCCGGGCGCACCGGGGGCTTCGGGGCGCACTGGGGGATCGGAGCACAGCGGGGGGACTCCGGGCGCACCGGGGGATCGGCGCACAGCAGGGGAGCTCCGGGCGCACCGGGAGGCTGCAGCGCAGCCCGGAGACCGCAGCGCCGCCCTCCCCGGACCCCCAAGTCCCCCGACCCCGGACCCCCAAGTCCCCCGACCCCGCGCCGCCCGCACCGGAGCCCCCCGCAAGCCCAGGCCCGGTGCCCACCCCGTCCCGTCCCGTCCCGTCACCCGCCGGCACCGGCAGCCCAACTCACCGAGGGGCCGGGCACCGGGCACCGGCACCTGCAGCGCCCGCTCGGCCGCCCCGGGCCGCCGCCTCCCGCCTGGCGAAGTTTCGTTTTTCCGCCGAGCCGCCAAGTTTCGTTTCTGGCACGTCGCGGTCCCCGCCCGGCCCCGGGCGACCCGGCCAATCCCTTCTCCGGCCACCTCCCACGGGCGGCTCCCGACGGGGTCCCGCCCCGCCCCGTCCCCCCATCCCGCCGGGGGCCTGGGGGGTCGCGGTGCCCGAGGGTGGCGGGGCCGCCGGGTACCCACTGGCACCCCCCGGGAACCCACCCGGCACCCCCAGGCACCGGCAAAGAGCCGCTGCCGGCGGGAGGGAGCGGGTCCTGCTCACCGGGGCCGTCGGGGCAGCCTCTTCTCTGCGTTTCCCGCAGCCCCCAAATCCCCGGCAGAGCCCCACTTTTCCTGCTTTGGGCTGATGGGGTACAGACACACCAGCCCCCCACTCCTGCACTCCGCAGGCGGCTGGAGCAGGGCTGGGGGCCATGGGGGCAAGTGTGTTGCAGGAAAGCAGATCATGCTGGATCCGACAATCAAAAGTCAAAAGTGGATCCAACAGTAAAAAGTGGGGATGCAGCTGTTGCCGCATCCCGGATACAACGAGGACCAAGCTGAAGATGGGCTCCCAGCACACCTGATCTCCACTAGCGTTCACACGGGTTTGAGCACACACACTATTCCCACACAATCGGCCCTTTTGACCCCCATACTCCTATTTTCCCGCTCCCAGCATCACTGGAGTGCAGCAGGGAACTCACCGCCCAGCGCTGCTCCGCTGCAGGAATGAGCACCCCACGGCAGGACCTGCCGGCCCTGGCAGGCGTGTGGCTCCTCAGCTCCTCTGCTGCTCTTGCAAAACCTGCAACACGCCCCTGGGAGGAGGAACTGCGCCGGAGTGTGCCCTCGGGCTCGGATCATCCGGGCAGCCGAGGTTGGTTTCAGTTTCTTTTCCTTGGAGTGCTCAGCAGCGCCCAGAAGGGAATTTCCCCATCCCACACAAAAGAAAAAGCTTTCCCCCAGAAACACAGAGATCACGCTGACTCATTAGCAATTCCTGATTTATTACACTCTCCCCTGATTAATTACACCCTCCGTGCCGGGTGCCAGCAGAGGGCTGCTCAGGAAAATTCAACTCCCGACCCTGCCCAGCCCCGCCGGGCTGCTGTAACAGGCTGCACCCCAGGGGGACAGCCCAGCCCTGCCCCCGGGCAGCGCTTGGCACAACACCCACAAACGAGGGATCAGTGAGGAGCACAGTCCCGGATGTTTTGCTGAGCGGTCACATGCCCTCGGGCTGGAGGGCAGAGCCAGCAGCCCTGAAACTCTCTTTGAGGTGTGCCTCAGAACATGAAAAACGTCCAGAATTAAAACAGTGAATTAAAAAAAGACAGCAGCTCTGTGAAGGAGGGATAGCTTTGCACTGATCACTGGGACAGGGAATGGTTTTGTCCCACTGATCCCTTCCAGGGAGTGCCTGCCCTCGGTCTGTGGAGGAGGTGAGGTGCCAGAGCCCCATGGGGCTGGGGGCCGGTGTGGGACCAGCAGACCCCTGGTCCCAGTGCTCACCTCAGCCTGTGTGGGGTTGGGCTGGTGCTGCTCTGCCCTTCCTGGTGTGGGACATGGGGACAGTCCATCCCCATCTCCCAGGAGCTGGGCAGGAGCGGGCAGCTCCCGCAGAGGGTGTTGATGTCACTGGGGTGTCACAGGACATTCAACCCCAGCCCAAATGGTGACTCCTCACTCACTGGATGAGCCCCGAGCTCTCGGTGGTGCTGGTGAAGGGGTCAGTCCTGCTGTCCCACGGCTCTGCTCCTCTGCACCACTCTGGGCCAGGAAGGGAAGAAGCAAGTTAAAGCCAGACTTTTGTCCTGCTTTTAGCTGGGATAGAGTTAGTTTTCTTCCAAGGAGCTGCTACAGAGCTGTGTTTGGGTTCAGGATGAGAATCCTGCTGATAACACCCTGCTGGCTCTGCTGCTGCTGAGTGGTGCTTACACTAAGCCAAGGACTTCTCAGCCTCTCACACTGCCTGGCCAGCAAGGGGCTGGGGGCCTCGAGAAGCTGGGAGGGGGCACAGCCAGGACAGGCGACCCCAATGCCCAAAGGGATGTTCCAGACCACAGGACATGGTGCTGAAGAAAAAACTGGGGGGATTTGGCTGGGGGAGGGTGAGAGCCACTGCTCAGGGACTGTCTGGGCATCAGTCAGTGGGTGGTGAGCAACCACCCTGTGCATTGCTTGCTTGCTATATTCTCTAGTTATTATTATGATTTTTCTTTCCTTTTTCTGTCCTATTAAACTGTCTTTATCTCAACCCACAAGTTTAACCTCTTTTCTGATTGTCTCCCCATCTCTCTGTGGGAGGAGCGAAGGGCTGTGTGGTGTTGAGCTGCTGTTGGGTTAAACCACGACAGCTCACGTAATCCCCAAGGCTGAGGTGACCAGCTCACCTTCCCAGCAGCCAGGTCCCTGCAGCCCCCCCACTGCTGCTTTGGGGCTCGACAAAGGTCAGACCCCCAGGTTCATCCTCCAGAGCCCCACTCACCAGCATCCTGAGAGAGCACCAGGGGCAGCCCAGAGCCTCACCTGCCTCCTCCCGGCTGGGGAAATGCTGGAATCCTTCTAAGTCGGCGGACAGGAGGACTTGGAGAACAGGGTCCTGAGGGCAGAGAAACTTGGGCTGGGGGAGCACTGGCCACTTCCCATCCCTCCAGAGCTGAGCCCCCAGCCAGCCCAGAGCAGAGGATCCAGCCCTTCTCACCACCCACATCCTGCAGCCTCCACCTCTGATGGGGGAAGGCAGCCGGGCTGAGCCCATTGACAGGGACCCTCCCCAGGCTGTAGGGGAGAGGCAGCAGGGTCTGGGATGGGGCAGCAGAGCCTGGGATGGGGTGGCCAAGGTCCCACACACCTTCAGGCCACAGAAGGCCAGTGAGAGGCCGTGCTTGCGCAGCTCCTGCAGCAGCTCTGCCAGCCCCACCACCACCGTGTAATCAATGCTGCTGATGTGGCAACAGTCCAGGATGACGGAGCGTGGTGGAGATGCTGCTGGAAGAGCATAAGGTCACATCCCTGATGAGTCCAGAAATGGCCAGCCCAGGGGTCACAGCCCTCAGAGCCAGGGCCGGGGCTGGCAGGGGTGGGACCATACCTGCCAGAGCACGGCTGCACACAGTGTCCCGGAGGCACTCGATGGCTGGGAAGTGCAGGCTGCTCCCTGGCTGCACGAGGAGCACGTCCCCCTCCGACACCTGCACAGACCCCAGTGCAGGGGGACAAGTCACTGGGAACTCAGGGCTGTGACCTTCCCGGGGGGGACAACTGCCCGTGTCACTCACTGTCCTTCTGGACGGAGGGGGACATGCAGGAGCCCCCATCCCTCAGGGAAAGCCCCTCCTGCCCACACCCAGAGTCAGCAGGACAGGGAGAGCAATGCCTCCCCATCCTGCTCTCCAGTCCTGGGAGATTCCCTTCCTTATGCTCTTTTAAAGAGGTCCCTGTGCTGCACCCATGGCAGGCTGGTGACATGGGAGAGGGCATGAACACGACAGAAGCATCCTGCACCCCAACACCTCACTGCCCTCATGAACCCCTTCCCAGATCCCTGGTGATCACTGTGGCCTTGCCACACCCAAGAGGAGGTTTGAAGCCCACCTTTATTGGGGGCCTGGCAATGGAGTAGAGCAGGAGAATCCCTGAGACTAGCACCCCGGCCACAATTCCATACTGGACCTCCCAGAAGCAGAGCAGGAACGTCACACAGAGGGGCACAAGGTCCAGTCCTGCAAGAGAGACAGCCCAGGCTCAGCTTTGGTTTGTCCCGGTGCCACAGGGCCCTCAGTGACAGTGCCTGCTCTGCAGGCAGAGCTGGGCTGCACCAGGGGATCAGCCTCCCCCAGCTCGTGCCCTCACTCTTAACCCTCCAGAGCGTCCTGAAGATCCCCGCGTCGAACATGGGCAGCACAGCCGAGATGATGACGGCGGCCAGGGCTGCCTTGGGGATGTAGTAGAAGAGCGAGGTGAGGTAGGCCAGCGAGAGCAGGACCAGGGCACCTGCGGGACGGGGGAGCCCCTGAGCCATGGGGTCCCTGATGCCCAGGGCTCCCAGGCAGGGGGGCCTGCAGAGCAGCCCACGGCAGGGTCAGGGCCCTACCTGTGACGAGCCCTCCCGCGGGGGTGCAGACCCCTGACTGCGCGTTCACCGCCGTCCTGAAAGGCAAAGCAACACGTTCTAGGCTGTGAGGGGACCAGGGGGACCAGGGGCTGCCCCCACCCACTGCCCAGACCCCCCACCCAGGAAAATCACTGACCCTGCCGGACCCCACCAGGGAGAAACATGAGCAAGAAACACGAGTGGCTCCCAGCCCACAGCAGGACTGCAGAGCACTGAGATGGGAGAGAAGGTGGCCATGGGACACATGCACAGCCTGGCCACCAAGGTGGGCTGCTGGGACCAGGACATAAGCTCAGAGACCCACTGGGGTCCGCACAATCTTCCACCCAAGATCTTGCAGAGCCCCCTCACCCCACAGGCCCAGTGAGTGTCCTGTTACCCCTCCTGCTACCCACCGGCCAAAGCTGCCCGTGATGGGATACGACGAGACGAAGGAGCCCAGGATGTTGGCAACGCCTGCAGAGGGGAAGGAGAGGGGCTGGGGAGGCACCACCAGGGCCATGAGCTGGGTCTGTGTCCCCATCAGCACCTCCTCCAACTCCAGTACCAGGGGCCGGATCAGAGCCCATCCCGCTGTGCAAGTGTGACTCAGCCTGCTCTGGAAATTCCTGTGGGAACAGCTTTGGTGGGAGCAGTATGCAAGGTAAGAAAGGGAAAACTTCAAGGAGAGGTAGGACTGCTGAGATGGGATCTGGTGTAGCTCAGGAGCTCTGGGATACATGGTAGCACCGAAGCCAGACCCCCCACCCCTGAACCTCCTGCTCCAAAGCAGTGTCTTACCCAGAGCCAGCAGCTCCTGGTTGGGGTCAATCCTGTAACCATTCTGCGAGGCTGAAAGGAGATACAAGCATTGGCCCGAGACTCCCACAAGCACAACCCACCACGCCCACAGTGTGGGGCCAGCACTGACTGGGACAGTGTGGACCCTGTCCTGCAGCCCTCGGGCACAGGAGCACCCTGAGACAACACCCAGCTCCTGGGCCAATTTCAGCTGTGCTCCCTGCGGGACCCCTCCTGCCAGCCCACACGATGGAACGGGCTCGGCACAGGCAGACCTGTACCCCTCAGTGCCCTCGTGAGAAGAGCACCTTCCCCAGCACCCCGAGCCCCTGTGGGACCCCCCACGAGCGCAGGGCAGGACCCTGGTGCAGCCGTACCAAAAGCCTTGGCAATGGCGATGGTTTCCAGCAGGCCCATGAGCGGGACCACGGCCAGCCCGACCCCCATGTCCTGGGAGGGAAGGGTACAGTGAGGGAGGGCTGGGAGTGACCTCATCCCACCGTGCAGGGAGCCAGCACACGCAGGAGGGAGCAGAGTAGCCCAAGGGGAGCTTGGCCTCCACCAGCCACCCTGGCACTCACCTCCACCATGCTCGGGAAGGGGACGGTGCCGTTGGGCGCTGCCAGGGAGAAGCGTGGTGGCCGGAAGGCAGGGAGGCCCCGGGGGATGCTGCCGGTGAGCGTGAGGGGCTGGGAGCCCATCACCTGGAAGGAGTAAGCAACCAGGCCAGCAAACAGGACGACGAGGGCGTTGCGTGCTGCAGAGGAGAGAGCAACCCTGGAAACCCGCCCAGAGCCCAGGGCAGCAGGAGGGATGGCTGGAGATGGGTATCTGAGCTGCCAAGGACTTCCAAGCCTTAGGAAGGGGCATGCACAGTGGCAGGACCACTTTTAGGACTTTGTCCTCCCCGACCCATTTCCCACGTCTCGGCTCCTGCCAACCTGGGCTTTACTAGTTTTGGGTTGTCTCTTCCTTGCCCCGATATGACAAGCCCCCGGGAGGGATGGCTGGGGGAGGGGACAGGGCAGGGGATGGCTGGCACACCTGTGGCAGAGATCCAGACGATCCGGCAGCTGATCCTGGCAGCCAGCGGCTCCGCAGAGGCAGCTTGGGGCAGGCGGCTCTTCATGGCCCGGAGCGCTGCCAGCGCGGCCAGGCAGGCCAGCCCCAGCACAGCGTCCCCAGCCCTGCAACAGCCACCTCAGTGCCAGCCCAAACACGCTCTGGGGCACAGGAAGAGCCCCCAAAAAGCCCCACCAGAGGGGGGTTGTGTCACAGTGCTGGGCAGGGACCGAGAAATCAGTCCAAGGTGTGACCAAAGAGATGGGGAGCGAAGTGGCAGAGCCTGAGACCCCACAGCTGCAGGGGAGGGAGCGGGGAAGGTGCCGACCTGGTCTCCCCGATCCTCCGCAGCGTCTCATACACCTGCAGGAAAAACTGCCGCGGGATCCCCTGCAGCCCCAGGATGTTCTGTGCAGGAAGACAAAGCCTGGTGACAGCCTGGTGACAGCCCAGCTCAGCCCCAGCTGCCGGGTGCCTCAGCCCCTGGAGCGGCGCCGTCCCCCACGACCGCAGCCATTGGCCAACAGCGGCCTGCCAGCTGCTGCCAGAGGCTCTGATTTGGGGTAACCACAAAGGAAGTGTGGCAGCCCCAGCAGAGCCGCACGGCCTCAGGTCGCTGAGAGGCCAGTGAGGAGCTGAGGGGCTGCAAAAAACTCCCTGCAGCTCCCATCAGTGCCAGAGATCACCCAGCACCCCCTGCCAGTGACCAAATCAAATGTCCTGCTTTTACTGCTGTCCTGGATGTCACCAGCTGGTCACGGGCAAAGGGTGTGTTGGGCTTGGTCTGCTCAGAGCAGAGCTCTCAGGGACCCAGCAGAACTGCAGGCAGGGGGTCTCATGACCCCTTTGGGGCTCCTTCCTCTGGTACCAAGCACATCACCCAGCCTGGTGCTAAATATCCCAGTTCCACAGCACTAGGAGACAGATGGTGAGGCATCCAGGACAGAGTAGATCCTACCTTGATCTGGTTGAAGCTAATGGTGATGGAAGCAGCCGATGTGAACCCTTTAATGACAGGGCAGGAAATGAAATCCAGAAGGAACCCTGTGTGGGATGGGCAGCGCTGAGCACACTGCTGGCCCTGGTAGGCACCCAAACCGGGTGTTTGTGTGCACAGAGCTGTCACAAGCATTAGCTGGATGACCCCAGTGTCCTGGAAAGCTGAGAGGAGAGGGGAACAACTACAGGATGTACAGAAACATCCTAAAAATACAATGGTGCATGGCAAGAGCATCTCACCGAGGTGCAGGAGCCCCATGGCCAGCTGGATGCAGCCAGAGAGGAAGGCGAGCAGGATGGCATAGACAGGCTCGTGGAATGCGTACGAGGAGACGAGCAGAGACATGATGGCCGTGGGACCCAGTGTCACATCCTTGGCAGTGCCCAGGAAGAAGTAGACGAAGCAGCCCATGAAGGAGGAATAGAGGCCATACTGCAGGGGGGCAGAAGGGGCACTGGCACAACGCTGGGAGCTGGGAGAGGCCAGAAACCTCCCCGGCGAGGAGGGCTGGGCTGATCTCGGGTCACTCCAGGGCACTTGGCACACACAGGGCGTCAGGAGCTTCCTGCCCGGAAAACGGGCGACTGCACAGGGTCGGCCCTTGGTCGCCCAGCCCAGCCCAGCCCAGCCCAGCCCAGCCCAGCCCTGCCCGCCACGCTGCAGGC